TTTCAATATTTAAAAACCAACATAAGTAGATAATGTATATGAGTTTTTTTAGGAGTTACTAAAATTTAGATTTAGAAATATAATAGTCCAATTTAGAAAAAATATTAGTAAATGAGACCAACTTAAAGTTTAGAAATTTTTAATGCTAATAAATATAAAAATATGAGTTCCTATCTAATTCAGAAATATTGTAGATTTTTCAAATATAGAATTTAGGTCTTTTATTATCACTGCTTAAAAAAAATTTATTAAGAAAAATTTATTAAAAATAATTTTACTTATCATATTATATTTTTAAGCTTAAGAGTTTCTCAAATCTTATACTTCAAAAAGATCAAATGTGGAATCAATTTATGATTAGACACTAATCCTCAAGCTTCTCCTCCCTTTTCTTTTCTTCTTTTTTTCTTTTTCAGGCAAGGATTATTATATCTGGATAGGCCTTTAATGATTTTGAATTCCACTTCTCATTTCCTAAAGCAAAATCCTTATATAAATCTTTTACTTATAAATATAATAATACTTTTGAAAATTATTTTTAATAAAAGAATAAATTTCTAAATTTTTCAAAAATACAATTTTTCTTACTAAAGATAGTTACACTATATTTAGCATTTTCTTCACTAAAAATTTTTAACTTTAAGTTTTTCTTTGTTACTATAAATTTTAGGTAAAATTTCTAACTCATTTCTAAAATCAAAATTTTACTTCTCTGATATAACTTTACATACATGATAATGAAAACTAACTATAACATGCTTACAGGAATTTTTCTATCCTAAAAATGCAAGTATAAAAAATTAAAAATATGAGGAAAAAATATTAAATTGATCAAATTATAATTCTTAACATATAAAGATTCATTAGACTTCTATGCAGTGGAGTATAACTGAAAAGCAAATAAACACACTAACAAACAAACACAATTACAATATAAAAAAATAACTGGTAGTAAATTAAAAATTTTAAACATGCAGTTTTAAGTAACGAGTTAGCTAAATTTTAAACTTTTCTAAGATTTGAGAATTAAGTTCAACAAACACTAACTAAATACAACAAAATAACACAATAAACACAATTACTACAACTCAAACATACTAAATACACACAAAAAGTCAAATACATTACAGTAGGTGTACTAAACAAAACACAACAACTAAAACTAACAATCTCAACAATCTCAACTGTAAACAACAAAGTACAGAATACTTGTACCATCAAAGATTCATAACAATACATAAACAGAAAAAAACATAAAACAGAAAACAGAACTAGAAATCCAACTAAGCATCATCTTCCTCATCACTATCATCACTACACCAAGCAGTTGTAGGCTCATACAGTGGATATCTAGGGTACTGAAAATACTACATCTCAGTTACCTCCATTGAGATGCTCCATAGGTGTGTTGTACTCCTCATAATCACTTCTTTTCATATACACATCCATATGCTCAACAAAATGCTCTAAATTTGCACTTTTTCATTGGTATAAATAACATTATTTAATATTCTTTCCGTAAGTTGTGACTGAGTATCAGAACCAAAACTCTGACCTCGTGATGTATAGGCATGTGAACTAGAGGCTCGTGAAGTAGAGGCAGTAAAACTACCGGATAATCCACCCTTCCAACCAAAAAGAGAACGATGTGAATAAGTCTTCACATTTACACTAATAATGGGCTTCAGTGGCTATAGGATCTCCTCCCAGCTATCATATTTAACATCAGTCTGCTCACATAACGAAAAGATCAAGGATGCAAATCCCAAACCTGCGGTGGTAGCAGCAATGGTAGAACTGGTAATAACTCCACAAATCAATCCTCCAATATCAATCGGCTTGGACTGCTTAATACAATAGTTCAGGGTTGCTTTGTCTCGAGTCACTTCACTCAGATGATTTATAGGAAGTAGATGAGTAGAAATAAAATAATGTCATGCCTTGGCATTGGCATCCAACTTCAAGGCAGAAAAATTCACTCTTCTTTCATTTGTAATCTTCCATAATCCTCTCCCATCAGTTAAAAAATGATATAATCTCATCTAACTCCTCCTCAGTAGGACTATAGTTTGCATAAAAACACAAAGTACTAGGAGGAAGATGGTAAAACTAATTAATTACCTCAGGAGAAAATGGTACTTTCTTCACCCACACTATGACTCCTACTTCATCAGCCACTGAGAGGTTCGCAAAGAACTCCCGCACAACAGAGATCACAATGATAACAGAAAAATAACAGAACCTCTCCCACTAGTGACTAACAATCAACTCCTCCACGGCTTCTCCTGGACTTTTGAAACAACGCTCAACAATCAATTTCCTTGTATGTAAAGCATCACTATACCGATCCTGAGCTCTCAAACTAACAAATTTACTCGAGTCGAACAGAGCTTTTCCTTTGCTTCTTTTTCTCCTTGGTGTTTTGTTCCATTTTCTAACAATTTGTATAAAATTCAAAATAAATCCCACAATCAACTCTAAATCATAAAACACAACTCTTAAAAGCTTACACACAACTCCTAAAAGCTTAAACTAACAAAAATCTATGCATTTTCCATCAATTTTTCCAAAATTTCACCATGAATAGTGATTTTCGTGTAGATTATGAATGTGCTCAAAATACATGGTGAAAATCACAAATTTTTTCATAAAAGTGAAGCTCTAACCTCAAAAAGATCAAATCTAACAAATTTGGCTTGAATCCACCAAGAAATCTTCAAAATAGGTGATGTCCTAGCCTAGAAATCGCAAAAAACCGAAAGTAGGAGATGGAGTTGGGGAAAAAACGGAGATTTTTGGACCCAAAATTCACTTAAAACTTTTCACGAATCGGTCCTTAAGCTCGAATGATTTGACACTTAGGCGCCAATCTATCGGTTTAGTCAACGATTAAGCGCGGGATTTGGCGCTTAGGCGCCAGTGCACAATTTTTTATTTTTTTTTTCATTTAAGTGAAATGCACTCTATCCTAAGTCAACCAACCCTCTATGGTCTCAAAAACATTCTATATATTATTTTCTTCCCTCTTGCTTTCTTCTAACTCAAAATTTCAGCAATTTAATTTAATTCGATTCAGCACTAAATACACAACAATTTTCACAAACAAAACATTTACATTCATTCACAAACGATTACAAACATTTAAATACATAAATTCTCAATCCAAATAGTCTTTGAAGAGAAAATTCGTAACACAAACTCTAAACAAACTTAACACATAAAAACACTTTAAAACACTCTTAACATTAACAAACAACATTAAGCACTCAAAACACTAAACAAGGAAATTAATCATGAACTTAGTTCCATTCTCTAGTTGATAGAACAAATTCTAGCCTATCATTACTTTGTCCTTCAACCTTTGGAATGTATATCTGAAACAACGGATGATGGTTAATAACTTTGGTTAAATCTTCTTCAATCCATTTGTTTTTTAGATACATGGCCTTGTCTACTTCTTCTATAAAATCGGCATGGATAAACTGCATCTTTAGTTGCCATCCCATATGATCCAAATGTGTGTTAACTTCCATCACTTTTCCTTCAACTGAAGCCACGTTAGCCTCAATCTTTGTGATCTTCTCCACTATTCCTTCAATAATAATGGCTAGAAAACTGTTATACATCTTGTGTGCACTCTGACTAATAAACTTCTTTCTCATTACTTCCTCCTTCTTCTTTAAATCACTCTCCCAAGATGACATTTTTCCAAGATTCTCTCTTTTTCAATTAGAATTTAGGGTTAAATGAAGGTGTGGTGAGATTTCTACTCTTACCCCCTTTATTTATAGGCATAAAACTCCCCCATAACTCCTACGCACGTCTTAAAATTGTGCTTACACATTCACGTCAACCAATTTGCAGTTTAGAGCTTCTAAAAATTGAAATTCGCACATGTTTTTTAACTGTCGTGCTTAAGCGCCGGATCTTGGCACTTAAGCTCCAGTGCTCAATTTAGCACAGGTCAACTTAACATCCAAACATTCGTTCTAACATGTATAAATCATCTTTAAAGGTCTTAAAATTATTTCTAACATAATATAGAATTAAAATAAAACCAAAATTTTCTAAATCACAGACAACAACATAACAATAAAAATACCTACACAGATAACTATGGGGTGCCTCTCACAGAGCGCTTAGTTTTACATCGTCATCCCGACGTAACCAGTGCTTATTCTAGTTGATCCAATATCATAAAATCATTTAATTTAAGTTGGTCACCTAAAAAGTAGGGTTTCAGCCTGTGACCATTCACTTTGAATATTTTATCAGCATTAGGATCTTTAATATCTACAACCTTAAGGATAAAAGTTTCATCACAACAAATGAGCCCATCCACCTAGACATAAGTTTGCCTGGAAATAATCTTAGCCTTGCATTATAAAATAAAACTTGTTGCCGTAGCTGAAAATTTTTAGTCTGAATACTTTGATCATGTCACATCTTCATCTTTTCTTTGTAAATCTTAGCACTATCATAAGATTCATTCCTTACTTCTTCAAGCTCATTTAATTGTAATAATCTTTTCTCACCAGCATCTTTCAAATTATAATTAAATTCCTTCATCGCCCAATGATGCATAAAAAATATATGCATTTTTAGACCTATATTTTATACTCATTTTCGGTGATATTGCGGTTTAAAGGAAGATATTTTTTATGTTTTGTTGTAGATTGATGATTTTTAGAACTTGAAGCAAAAAGGAAGGACAAATGATGGAATTTGGAGTCAAAATGGCATTTTGGAAAAAATACCCAGCGCCGACAGTGCCAGCATATGATTCTCCCTTTGTTGTAGAAATCATATCTCCTTTTCAGAACATATAATTCTCAAGACATTTTAACAATTCAATTGGCTAGATCAAAGTTCAAATCATCACAAATTATTGACA